TCCCATCTGGCCCCATAGACTTGTGAGCATCCAGGTGGCATAGCAGGTCATTAACTGCTTTCTCTTGGATTATGGGGGGTTTATCTTGCTCGCTGTCCCTGTCTTCCAGCTCAGGGGGCTGAGTACCCTGAGGATAACTGGTCTGACTGTTAAAGACTGAGGCGAAGAAAGCATTAAGTACCTCAGCCTTTTCCTCATCCTTGGTGACAATGTTCCCCCCCTCATCCAATAAAGGATGGAGATTCTCCTTGGCTCTCTTTTTGTCATTATTTGTAAAAACATGTTTTGTTGTCTCTAACGACAGCGGCCAGATTGCATTCTAGCTGGGCTTTTACCTTTCTCATTTCCTCTCTGCATGACCTAACGAGATCAAATTCAGTTGGATTTATTGCTGGGGTGCAGTCAAGGTCACATGGCATTTCAGATTCCAGTGTGTGAATGCTGTTATAATCCTGCTCCTTACCATAATCAGAGTTAATAGACAATCCAAAATCAATGTCTTTGTCTCTTCTCAAGGTAAGTTCCATTGGCTAGGTAACAATTCCTGGGGTTAATTGTTAGCCGAAGTTTCTTCCTGATATTTTTAACCTAGGTTTCCTGCATTAGTTCCCTACTTCTCGGGAAAAGAACATAACCACAAGAAGTATCCTAATTTTTTTTTAATCTTTGGATTAATTTAATATATATTCCATTTCTGCCTGTTTCTATATTGTGTAGTGGAGTTGCTAAATTAATTGTTGCCTAGGAGAACTCTGTCATTTGTCTACTACTACTACTACTGAGTCTTTGTTACCTCTTAGCAAGGTCTCACTGAATTTGAGAGCACTTGTATACAACTTGATTAAAACACATTTTGTTGGTAAATACTTCATGGGGATTCAAAGTCTAAATGTAGCTAATCCTATATCTATTCAGAGAATTCAACTGAAAAGTGCTCTTTAGGATTAGTTACTACTATTTGTGGACAAGGAATCTGGTTAGTATCTCACTGCTTACAGATTGCTTTTGCTGGTATATAATATTTCTATTCAAACAGCAAGCATTTTCATCTTTGGGGAAAAAAGAACAACAATTTATGTCTTAACCGTTTTTATCTTTAATTATTGCCAAAATGGTAAAGAAATTTATTAAAGCAAGGTGTCTGGATGAATCTGTCTTTAAGATTGGATCTCCCTCTTGCATATTTTTTTAACAGTGCATCTTTGATCTTACAATGATGTCATTCTACAGAACGTATATAGTATTAATCCTCCCTTAGTTGTGGTTAACACTGAATGATGACTTCCCTGCAGGATCCAGCTGTCCACACTTTGGGAAGGAGGCTGCTTTAATATACAAGTAATCTTGGCAACACTCAAGGCAACACAAAATTATTGTGCAGCATAATTTGCATTTTATGTAAGGATTTTTCATATGAAAAACCATTAATGAGAGACTGCATTCAGTCACTAAACAGTGAATTGCAAATACTAAGAGCTTTTCTTGTATGTTGCAGTTTGTGTATAGTAGTTGTACTTATGCTAAGCACAAAATATAGGCTGGTAGGTTCCAGGTGCATTAAATATTAGACAATATTTATTGATAAGGCATTTAAAAAAAAATCTATATGCATCTAGATGTTACTTAATATGGCTTTGAGGAGATTGATAGCTAGCTAGAGCGTAGAATGATGTTAATATTAGCTCTTTTTATCATGATATTTTAGGTGCAAAATTCAAACTCCATTTATTTAGTAAATTCCCAATACAAAAAACATTGAGGTATCTTAACAGTAACCAATGGTGATGATCTCAGACCTGCTTCAGTGGAGTAAGACCTGTGAAATACTCTCTAAAGAGAGAACTTCTGTTCTCTGTGTCTGATCAAAGTAAATTTGAAGGAGTAGCCTGATGTAATGCTTCCACAAGTATTGAGTGAGTTTCTTTTTGGTTATGAAAACTCAGTGGATAATGTCACTTGGTGCACCTTGTGTGCACAATCTGAGAGCTCTTGTCCTTATATTGCATATACACAAACGAGTTCTACTGAAGGGTTCAACTGCTACTAATGCATAAAAGGATCAAGAGCATTTTCATAGGGTGAACCAATTGTTCTGATGGTTTTTTGGGGGATATGCCAAAGAGTCTGAAGGCATCTGTCATAAGTAGTTTACCATTACACACTGTTCATCCAATTGTGTTATTATCTTGATTTATCTACCAGGTGAAGAATGCATAAAAAACTTTTAATTAAAATGTAGTCACTTCTGTCCTACAAAAGCAAATTTTGTATTTAAAAATAAAAATATAAAAATATTTTGCCTACAGCATGTGTAGCTTATTTTAAAGCAGACCTAAAGTAACAGTTCAGTCCTGAGCAAGGTGGTTTTATATTCTTACCATTATTTGTGAAAACTGATTACTTGTGCCAGTTTGTACTGTGACAGACTTTACTGCAGAATCTCAACTACAATTTTAAGTACTGGGTTGTACTGTCAGAAAGGAGCTGTCCTTTTGCATATATTAGTATTTACTCTTCGTAGACTGCTGCAATCTCTTGTTTAAAAATTCAGTGGATTGGTATTCTGAACAGACTCGATAGCTAGACCCGTGAGACGTTTGGTGTCTACAGCACAATGGCAAAAGGTGGATTCTGTACATGTAGGTTATTTGCTCTTCATGAGTGAAAACGGCATGCTCACATGAAAAAGCAAATTTGGCTCCAGTCTGGAAAGTTTGGGTTAAAAAATTTGGGTCTTTAAGTGTTCATTTCCCAGTATTTTTTCATAATTTTTAATATTGATTAAAAGAGTTTGCTAAAATTAAGGATGCACTTGGCTGACACTGACAGAGGATACACCAAGCAGTCTGAAAGCTTTCCTTCAAGTAAGCTGTTTGCTGACTAGGCAATATGGGGGAAATCTATAGCCTGGCTGTCAAATCCTCCTTTGTAGTGTGATATACTAAACATTTCTGTTTGTACTTGCAGGCCTCTGGCTGTGATGGCACTGAGATTCCTGATGAAGTGAAACTGATTGGGTTTGCTCAGTTAAGTGTCAGCTGATGTCTGTCCCTTGACCCCAAGCCGAATTGTGAGATTGCGAAGAGGCCAGCTTAGATGCAAAGGAAAATTAATGCACCACACACTGAGTTCTGCTTCATTCTCTAGCAATTCACAAAGTCAGAACAAGCAAAGCCCACAGCTACACCGCTGCTGCTAACATTCAAAATGCTACTAAATGTCTCTTAGCAGTTGATTTGGATTCCCCCTAAGTGAAAAGCCTGTGGAAATGCACTCAGGTGGCTCTATTTATTGGTTACAAAAGGAATTTTCTATCAAGCTTACTTCTTTCATAAACTTTGAGTGATACTATTTTACCTGTACTTGTGGTTGATAATACTGCCTCTGTTCTGTTATATTTAGAAATTAACATAAATATAAAAGTTAAGAATTATTAGCCAAACTTGAATTCTAGTTTTAAAACTGTGAATTTTATTTTTCATATATTTATGCATTACACATCCTAGTAACAAGAAAATGATTTGACTTGATTATGTGCTATTTGCAGTTAATCTCCCATTATTTAAAAAAGTTTCAGGTATATCTTTGAAGTATTTGGTAACTTCTAGGTTTGTTTTTTTTTTTTAATTAATTAATTAGGCTTTAGCAAGCTTGTGTTGGTTGTGTGTCTAAAAACCAGTCCACAAACTGATTGTCAAGGGAGTGGGAGGTGCCTTGCAGACATTAATGTTTTAAGAATGTGCCTGAGGCTGCTTAAATAAATAATCTCCATTTTCTAGAAGTGCCATACATATGGTACAATATATATAAATATATATAGTTATCTGAGCAAGGAGGGGATATACAGTAGCAAAGGTGTTAGAGTATTTTGACTATGCTTTATTGGGGAGTCTATGAGCTAGAACTGCTTTGAACTGTTGTCGTTAAGGTAGACTGCTTACTGTGTCCATCTCTGATCCGACTTATCCTTAATGATAGAAACCGGGTTTCATACAGGTGATAAAAACTTGAAGAATGGAACTGAAGCTTTACTTGAAGTTCTGCAAAATACCAAGGTGGAGTGAAAATAAAAGGGCTTTGTGCAATGATCAAGTAAAACTCTGTTACAAAGAAAACACTTCTGACCCAAGTAGTCTTATGCTTAACCTGTGACATAGATGTTATGGAGCTAGTGAACCTTAAAGACTTTCAAATTTGCAGATGTGTTTCTCAGAGGTTACAATTTAAACTACTCCCTAGCTAATCCTAGATAATCGGCAGCTCTTTAATGTACTGAAAACAGCAAATATATATTATTAAGAGAAGTTATTTATAATGCCTTGTCATAATTGTTGAGGTGTTCTATAGCCATTTGCATACGACTCAATGTAATCCCATCCCATCCTACTGTTTACATGATGATTACTCCAAGATGACTGCAAAGGTTAAAAAAACAAAATAAAAATAAAAGTGTATTGCACAAACAGATTTGTATTTTGAATTTCCATGCTCTGCATGCATTTCAATGGCTGTGTGGCAGGGTGATGTTATAAATGTCTGCTGCCCTTATTTAGTTTACGGGCAGCATCTGCACGAGGGATCTGGTTCCTTGTGTTGGGGAGGAGAAGGGGAGAAAACACTTCTTTATTGCTTGTGGGAGAGAGTTGCTCTTGACCTCTTTCTTTCCAGTGCTTTGCATAAGCCATTTTTAAGACTCCTAAGGTGTTTGTACTTCAAGAAATCATTCAGTTATTTGGGGCAGGACCTGTATGCCTGCGGGATGCTGGTTTGTGTGGGGAAGAGAGCGAGAGGGGCCCAAGGCAGGGCTGGGGCTGACACCTGCTGCCCCCAGGCCAGGTGTGGGGCTGGTGGCCACAGCTGAGGCTCGTTGGGGCAGTTCAGGCCCTCCTGGGGTGCCCTCGGGCCCATTAGTGTGGGGAGTCTGTCTTGGGGGAGGGTTTTGGCAGTGTGGCAGGGGCTGTGGGGTGGAAGGGCCCTGTGCTCCCATGGGGCCTGGCCTGCAGCCGGCTGAAGGCAGTGAACAAAAATGGTAAGTGTGCCTTTCCTCAGTGACAAAAATGGTGTGTCTTTCCTTAGCTTTGGGGTGTCTTTGCAGGTGTGGGTGTAGTGTTACTGATAATCTGTTTGGTATCTCTTCCACATCACCGGTATCTTATGTCAGTGCCCTGTAATCGGCCATTTACCTCTTAACCTTACTCGGTTAATGCTTTGCTGTGGTCAGCTTGTGCGTGCTTTGTGCCTGGCTCCCCAGGGCTGGCCGGAGGAGGAGCCGGGCAGGGGACTTGTGGCAGCCACCAGCAGCAGCACGGCAAAGGCTGTGCCTCTAGGCACCTGCCGACCTGCAGCTGGGTAGCTTCCTCCTCCTCCTTGGCTGTGCTAGGTGAGAACAGAGGGCACTGCATGGTGCCTGATCTGGGGGCAGGCTGCTGTTTGGCAGCTAACTATTCATTAGCAACCTTTGTGCTGGAGTAAGAGTAAATTAAAAGGTACCTTAAATGTGCATCTACCAGTAAAACAGCTGATAACCTGCAACGTTGCGATGGGGTGGCTACTGAGCAGGACCCGAAGGAGTTAAGTTCAGAGCATTGCTGTTAAGATTATTTTTGTTATGTACATTAATGTATGCTTCTTGAAACATTGCACCAGTATTGACTAATCCACCTGCAAAGTAGTTAGCTGGTTAGCTTTCCTTTTCAGGCAAAGAAATGAATGTTCAGGGAAGCTTGTTTTTCACAGATCTATAAAAGAAGTGGGAATATATAATTGGATGAAAATCATGTTCCACTCGCTGTACGCCTCCCCGAAGGCTGGGGAAAAGGTGTTGGGGTATGAATAGCAACTGTCAAAAGTGCTCATCTGCTATGCCAGTTGGGGCTGTAGGAGGTATCTAAATAAAGAAGAATGTAATACTTTAATTGAAGCAGTCAGCAGTTTTGTACCAAGATAAAGCTGTAACAGTTGTTGCTCACTTGCAGTCTGATGCAGAAACATGCCAGTGCTTCACTGAGCTTCCTTGGTTTAGTGAGACAGCAAATTCATGCAGCAGTGTTACTTATCAGAGCTGTGTTGGTTTCTTAAATGTTTTTTTGCTGCTGCTCAGGTATTGTGAATAAATACAATGTGAGCAAAATGAGTTCAGAAGGACAATGACCTGAAAGAAAAGGTAGGTAGAGCTTTAGTGTCTGTTAAAATGTTCATAAGTAGCTTATTCTCGCAGCTATATAGAGGTGAAAAAAGGTGAAAATATACAGTAGGTTGCAGTAGAAAGTAGTGTGCAAGTGATGATAGAGTAGAAATAGACACCAAATGTAATAGGAAATTGCTCCCTGAATACTATATTCGCATCCTCTGTTGAATAACAAGGGAAAAGAGATAACCAGCAACTATTCATTTATTCATGTTTACATGAAAAGCATTTAGGAGATGGGTACAGTTCTCACATGTATGACATGACTCGCCCCAAAGCAGTTGTGGTGCTCCTGTTTGAAAGGTGTTGCTGGCTGGAGCACCTGGCTGTGTTTGAAGGAAGAGGTCTCGAATTAATGAGGTGAAGCTGGAACAGGTGAGCTACCTTATAGCTGTCTCTGAGGCCAGGAAAATAGGGCTTAATTAGATGGTTCTAAAAATATAATCATCTGTAGTGGTGATTATATGCCAGTGCTTGCAGCTGGGCACTTGAGGCTTTGTGGGCTGATGAATGTCAATGTCCATGGAGCCAGCCCTGCCAGCGTGCTCTGCTTTAGTGTGCTCAAAGTAGCTCTGTGCTGTGGACTGAGATGGAAGTCAGTCGATGAAACGCACTTCTGTAACTTACTATTTTCAAAGTGTTAAAAAGGATGACTTTAAACATAGAATTTAACTCAGCACAAAACCAGGTCTGGAGAATAATTGGTTTGTGCATGTGGGAGACTTTTCCAGCCTTTTATCTCCTGGAACTCCAGTGTGGGCTTTGGGCCAGGAAAGCTGCCTCCTGCTCTGGCAACGTACGCTTTTCGTACCAAGAGAACAGGAGCACATGTCTCCTTCCTCTGACAAGTGCTGACCTCAGATATTCCCACCGACACGTACCGAGAGTTGCATTCAAACTGCAATGCAGCTAGCTAGTTGTGATAAGTATTTTTGCTTTCTCAAAATACTATCCTAGGTGCTACCACAATTTCCTCTATAGACCTCCTTGCCCCAGAGCACACTGCTGCTTTGTGGGTGGAAGGGGGAGCAGGGAAATAAGCCAGGAAACAACATTGAATTTTCTATCCCCCACGTTCTCTCCTGAGATAAAGATGAATGTGTGCCTTTTCAGCCACCTTGGTCTAATTTAAAATCTCCAAGCTGGGGGGCTTCCAGAGCAGTCCTATAAAATTTGTTTGTGGGGCATCCCTTCAGAATGTTTTTAAACACTGTTATTTCTCTGAGACAGAATGCTGTGTGCAGCTTGTAAATGGTGTGCCTCCCCCTCATGCTTTTCTTAGTCAGAGATTTGTTTTCCTTTTCACCACCTACCTCTGCATAATGGTGTTGGATGGTGAGATTGCCCTGTGCCTGAAATCAATTAGCTCTGATGATCAATCTGACACAGACCTAAAACACTGCTAATTGAGTGTATTGAAAATGCTGATTTTTGTTTAGCAGGGAGCAGAAGATGACCCCCAGTTTTTTTTCAAAGCAGAAAAAAAAATACGAGACCTTGTTGATAACGAATAACAATTGGTATTTTTTTTTCCTGTGGCTCAATTGCAATATAACTTTATTCAGCGAATTGCTGTGGGTTTTTCCATTGCATCAAGTGGGCAGCCTTTCCACCCTCTTGCAATGTACTTGTGCGTGTGCATGCGCTAAGAATGCTAATTACTTTAAAATGAGAAGTTGGAAAAGCAGCAGGAGCCTACATCTTAGAGTTCCCTGTGCATGTGCTCTGCTAATGAGCTGATGGAGCAGCTGGATTTACTCAAACCACAAAAACTCCCAATGAAGTATGTTTTACTTCTGTTTTATTACTCAATGGTCCAACTGATGAAATATCCAGGCATATTAGTTGAGCATTGTGACATTTTAGTTACTCATTTGCCCTCAATGACTAAGAGTAACATTACAGCGCACATAAAAATGTGGTTTTATAGCTGCTTTATGATTGTTAGATTGATGCTCATCAAGCTGCTTGCACGGTCGTCATAATCTGAGATGTTGAACCAAACTCAGTAGTTGTGAAGTTGTCTGCTTATAATAATGTTCAGAATGTGGGCAATGGTGGATCAATGAGCAATTACAGGGACTTAGAATAGTGTATGGTAAGAAGGAGAAATATTTAATTTTCACTGCATAAACCAATAGGGAGGCAATCTTGTCCTTTTC